ATTCTTCTCCAACATGCCCAGGGAAAGAATGAGACACACTGAACAGAAGTTGGAGCACAGGAAATTCCTGTTAGGTATAAAGAAAAAAAAAAAAAAAAAAAGTCTTGCAGCTGGCTAACCAGGTTGCCCAGGCATGTATGGAATCTCCATCCTTGGGGATATTCAAAACATGACTGGACCAGACCTTAACCAACCTTCTAAATTGGCTCTACTTGAGAGAGAAGGATCATCTGAACTACAAAACCAGATCTCATTTCTGATCTAGATCATTTTACAATTCTATGTGTATAGATTTTAAAACATTCCAAGAGAAAGTGGTTCAAATCAAGATATTGTATTTAAATATATAATAGTTAAATATGTCATGAATCACCGCCACCTTTTTTCTACGTGGTCCAGAACTCACAGTAGTCTGTCAGGGTTTCAAAAATTGTGTGATCCTATCTGAATAATAAAACACTATTAATGTCTCTGTGTATCTTCATGATTAGAGAGAATTTGTGGATATACGAGTGATAAGCACAGAGAACCAGAAAGAGAATCCTCACTGGCTATAAGATGTAAACTGAACATAAATAACTAAGGCTAACAAATAATGCCGATTAATCTCATTCTGTATGAGAGCATAACACACAGAAATACTCTTAGATAGTAATTACCTTGGAAAGGAGCATTGTCTGATGATGCTTCTACATCTCCAGATGTTCCAGAAAAAATCTCTCGCCTCCACTGCATGTTGAAAGGCAACAAAGAGTTCCAAGGGTGGCTTGCTGTTTCCCTCAAAATCTGATCTTCTGTGCTGCCAGAAGATAACCCTGAAATAAAAAGTCAGGAATTGACAGTTTTGCACATAAACCACTTGTATAAACTCCTCTGAGAAAACACCGATTCCCATCCCAATATACTCTCAGCAGCTTCAGGCTTTCATTTCTTTAACTCTTGCCTATCACTTCTCCCACAAATCTTACCATGAATTTCCATAAATCTAAGTTGTTAATACCTAATTATATATTACTCTGTGAAACTTAGCCATTTCAGAGAATGCAGACTTAAGAAATACTGAAACAATAAAATCAGAAAAGAATAGTTATTTTATACTACCTAGCATATTTATGCTTCCCATTGCATATAAACGTCAGTCTTTTAATATAATATTAGGCATCTTCTTGAACAGGGCCCGAGACGCAACATACAGGAAATCTGAGATCAAGGATAGCAATATTAGATTCTTAGTGTTCAACCACCTTTAACTACACAGCTCTGGAATTCTTCAGGTATCAGGAAAATGGTCTGTGATTTATAACTGTTTTTTAACTATTAAAATAGAGCTAGTCTGGAAAAAAAAATAATCATGCGTTGAGCAACTGAAATATTGGGTATTTTTTCCCAGCTAATAAAAAAGCAAAACTGCAAGTGCAATCCATGTTATAAGCAATTACCTTTGCTTTTATAATTACATGCAGATCAGTCACATGAATAAAGAATTTTACTATGTAGAAAGTTATCGGTTTAGAAGATAAAAGAGGCTGAGATTTCAGCAGCTCAAGAACTGTAGTCTTTAAAAATTAGGTTATAGATACGGAATAATTCATACGTATGTGTATGTGAGATCAGACGCAAATCAAATTAACACAGTATTGTCATTTACTGAAAGACTTAAAGTGAATAACACCACAGATCTCACAGTAGAATAACTGTCCTATCCACTTCTCATGTGCACAAGTGATAATGTTTGATTTACACAGGAATGAATTACAATGATACTATTTTTGTATTTTATAAGAGAATAGCTTAAAGTCAAGAGACAGGCTGCAAGCAAAAAAGGGACATATATTTGGCACAAAATTGATGTCAACGGGGCATTAAAGCGACATTATTTTCAAAAACAAGTGAGAAGTTTTAATTACTGTAATGACACATAAACAGATATATCAGAATGATACTCTTAGCAGCAACAAATAATTACAGCTATGCAACAACATATACTATATTCAGCATCTTCTTGGATGTTACGGCTGCTGATTAAGCTTCAAAATGTCCTTTACTAAAATCAATAGCTTATTAGGTAAAATTATTACGGAAGTCAAAAATAACAAGCACAGAGAGCCTGTAATCCAGTTGCACTCTGTTCTGCAGGGCATATAATCTATTTTTAAGTGAAGTTCCATACTAATCTTTAAGAACAACTTAGGTTCAGCGAGTTAGATCTGTTCTCCTATAAAGTAAGACAAAGGACATAAAACTCTCCATTTTGAAAAAGAAAAAAATACCAGTGTCAGCAGGGCTTGCATCCAGTATTTCACTAGTTAAAAAGCTTCCGGTGGAGATTGTTGAAGATGAATCACAAGGTCCTTCTTCTATGAAAGCCTCTGAACTTAAGCTTGTGGATAGTACTTTAGAAAGTATTCCCTAGAGAGGAAATAACATATAACAATAATATAAATAACATATAATATCATATATTCAGCTGTCTATGGTTCAAGCTTAGAACACACACCTATTTTATTCTGAGCTCAGTTCAAGTGTAGAAGCCTTCATTTCAAGTCAGGCAACGGCACAGTTCATCCTTGCTCAGTACAAACGTTCACATCCACTCTCAGACATCTCCCTCCCTCCCTCCCTCCACCCCCCAGAACCCACACACACCCCACACACGCCCCCAAACTCTTCTTAAGCTTCTCAGAATTGGGTACAAATCACAGCACCCAGAAGATTAGTTTATCTTCTGGTGCTCAGATTTGGCTATTTCTCATCACAGACCCACTCAGTAGAATTGTGGATCTCAGAGGGATATAGCTGCAACACCTGAAAGTTTCCAGAATTTCACAAGTATTTGCAAGACTGCCTTTTGCATTCAGGAGACACAGTTAAATTTAATTTCACTTTATGACTAGAAGCATCCAGAAAATGCCCTAAAAATATTATTTTCCTTAATTTCATGAGTAATCTCTAGAAAGCATGGAATGGGGGTTCCTATACTTCCAAGTTTACAGGGACAAAATGTGTGCATCTTTCTCCAATCTTAATTAAAAGATAAAAAATTAATAAAGAGTAAGAAAAGGGACAAGCAATCCAAGAAATCGAGACTTTTTATATAAGCATAAACATACTATTTGCTAAACACTGCTTGCATCTACTGCTAAAGTGACTGGATCTGCAGATAATGCAAGAGCACCACAGGGTCTACCTAGAGACCTGTCCTGTTTAACATGGTTGGCAATGACCTGCAAGAGGTGACAGAGTCTACTCATGTTTACAGATGATACCACGAGCCATCACGAGAAGGGAGACACACATCTGAAAACGAGCCAGGCACTTCAGTGTTGCATGGCAGGAGATGAGACACCATGAGCATAAATGGAAACAGCAGATGCCCCAGCTGGGTAAGAAGCATCCCTTTTTCCGGGCTGTCCAGACAAGTTATGCAACCTCCAGCCTCAAAAGTGACTCAATAAATCCCAGAGTAACCTGGTCTGCTCTCACAGCTGACCCTGCTGTGAGCAGAAAGTTACACTAGAAACGCCCCCAGGTCCCATTCAGCCTGAATTATCCTGATTCAAACAGCTTTACACACCTTCTGGAACATCCTAGAAATACAAGATCCCATTCTCACACATATGCCTCAAGGCAACAAAAAACACAACATACTTTCATTTTTGTGCACCATACTCATATTGCAGATAAATACATCAGGAAATAAGAAGTAGATTATGTTGTGTGGTTACCCGGATAGGACTAACCATATCGTGATGTCTGAATGATGGTCCAGAAGGGGTTACACCTCTGATCCCAGTTTCAGCAGCAAGCACTGGCAAATCTTGAAGCACACGAGAACCCTGGGGCCGGGCTGAACACAAATGCAACAGCAGTAGTCAGGAAGAGAAAACAATTTCGAGCTCACAGATAGCTCTTTTTTTATTATTTTTTTTTGAACACCAGGTGGCAATAATACTCTAGTGTTGCTGTCTTCACTGCATTGATTTTGCCCATGTTTACTTCTTTCTTAAAACTTATAATGAGCTTTTTCTGCTCCCTTGTAGCATTAGACGAACACCAATTTAGCTGGTAAACAGAGCAACTCTCCTTAACCAGCCATGGACAATTTTTAATTACTATGACAGCCTTCTGCAGAAAATGCAGAGAGTAGAAACAATGCTTTGCAGGAGGAACTATGGCTTTGCTTGTGTTAACATAACTATTTAGTTGGGGTAGTTAGCAGGGAAAGGGGCTTTGTAATCATTGCCATGATAGAGAGTAAGAGAAAAGTGCACAAAATAAGCCAGAGAAACCAGAAATGCTGAGATATCTCACTACAGCCTGACTCCTACTGCGGAGTTGGTGAGATCATTTCTGCCATACTGCACTTATATTAAAAAAAAAATAAAGCTGATCAATATCTGAAGGGGCAAAAAACACCCTAGCAGAACAGAGGAGAAGGAATCTCTCTATTCAGTGAGAGCAGACGCATTTAAGTTTGGTAATTCTTGCAGAATTTGAGATAAAATATCCTGCTGCAAATAATTCTAAAGTATTACTCTTGCTAGTAATACTTTTCAAGAAAAGAAGCATTAAGTATCAAGTAGAAGCGAAGATAGAGTTTAATGTGCTTTCTCCCAGTTCTATGGGGGCTGCTGATGGCAGAGACATTTCAAATTCCAAGTATTGTAAGGCTCTATCTTGTGGAATTAACAAAAGATTGAGATCTGCTAACAGCAATTTGTAGCTTGCATTAAACCACCTGGGTCTCCATCTTCTATTAAGAAAGTAAATGTTCCATTTTTCCTACAGTACAATTAAAGCAGGAGATATTTCTTTCACAGGAGGCTTTTCTTTTATAAGGCGACATACGATAAGAATCTTTATGATGTGATACCTACATACTTAAATCAATCAGGAAACAGCATGAAAGAAAAGAAAGAAAGGTTTTCTATAGCCACAATCATCTAATACTCTCCCAGGAGACAGTACAAGAAATGAATGAAAATAATATTTAAAATAAATGCATTTGGATTAAAAAGGGAATTTAGTATGTTATTGTCTTAAATAATAACTGACAGATCTCCAAGTAAAGACTAAATAAATTATCAAATAGGCTCCCCTCCCTGCAACAAGAGTGCAAAATCCTGGTTTCTGCTCCACTTTCTGAAAGTGTATGACACAGGTCTTCATGTCCTTGGAGAAAAAGCCTGAAGACCCAGGTAGGACAAGGGACAGAGCTCCCTGGGTGTGAGTGTGTGTGGCAGTAGAAACAGAGCAGAAACATAGCAGAGGCTGCTGCTCTTTGGAGCAGAATATGGGAGAGCTGGAGAAAACCATGAATGAGATCTTGAAAAAAATTCAGTCAGCAAAACTGCAGTCACACCTCTTGACAGTTAAATATTTCTACTGGAGAAAACACAAGATATATCATTTATTAAACTCAAAGTCATGACAAGGAGCAGTGATTAGAAGTGACCGCCAGTCATACTGAGGCAGGGAATAGAACATTTATTTTAAAATGTGATAAAAATGAACACAAGCTACCACATAAAATAATAAATTCTCAATTTCTTGATGTCTTTAAATCAAGATAGGAGAATTTTCTGAAAGAAATGCTTTAGTTTGCCAGATAAAGGACATCAGAGTGACAGGTAATAACTTAAGAATACAGAAGAGCTTAAAGCAGCTAATCCTCTCTTGTATTTAAATTCTATGAAGAGCTATGCTACAAATGCTACAAATTACTACACATTGTTTTTGTGATATTAATACAAGGGATGAGTAGTAGCAGTTTTATTTCAGAGTTACAATAAACTGACGAGGTATGAGTACATTTTATTAATATCCCTAAAAACTTCATATTTGGTGACACAAAGCATTTTTTTTCTTCTTCTTCCCCTCCTCCCTCTAAAATAATAAAGCAACATTTCTATTTGACAAGCTTAACTTCTACGTGGCACTATCATATTTTGACCTCCTGGTCACTACACTAGGACAAACAAACCATTAAAAATTGACACTGAAATATCCAGAATGCAATTTATTCAGTAGAAATTGCAGTAAAATAGCAGCAATTATTTTTGGGTGCAATTCAGAAGATAAAAGCCTGAGTGATGAATCACTCGGTGAAGATAATGAAAAACAAGGATTAGTTCAAACCCAAGTAGGGATACAAATAGAAAAGAAGTATATCAACAGAGGTACTCCACACTAGTCTGCTATATTCACAACGGATAAGACAATCTGTTGCAATATTTAGTTATAGACAAACATTGAGAATTCGGAAAAACAAACGGAAATCTTTGGGAGTTTCGACCAATTCAGGCTAAACTACCATGCATGACAACATCTGTGTAGTGTGGCAGAATGTGCAGATAACTACAGCTGGAACGGTGCTCTCAAGGGGGCTGCAAGAGGGATGAAATCTGAAGAAAAGCTTTAACAATGTATATACATCTACTTCCCCAGTTCTGCCTTGTATGCCAAATATAGTCACTACTTTCAGAATGATTTCCTAAGGAAATGAGGGCTACACAGTCAAACTGCCTGCCTCATCTGCAGAGTCATTCTGCAATTCCCTACTAACAATTTATATTCTATTAGCCCATTATAACCAAATTTGGCTGAGAATCTCAAAGATGTTAAGTTCTTAACTCATTTTTTTAAGACACCAGTGGCCCAGTAGAAGAGGACAACCCAATTCAGGACTACCAGCACCAGTTCAGCAGTTCTGTCCTGTCCGGCCTGCCACGTGGCCAGCTGGTTCACATGGCACTTGCCACCAACTCAACACCAAGAGTGGAGATTCATTCTCTCATCCCACCAGAGCAGCCCTTAAGACCCACCCCTCTTTACAGTCTGCCCCCAAATTTGAGAAGCCTGAAATTATTTTTTCTTCTTGTTATACTCATAAGAAAGCAAGCTCCAAATCATTTTGCCTGGTGCCCAATGACAAGTCTTATATATCCAACACTTTTATCAATAAAGCATCCAAGCAGATTTACAAAGTTTCTTTACAACAATCTATATAACTCCTTTGCAGATTTTTACCTTTTTGATATAATTCTTAATGCTTGTTCTGGAAAAAACACAGCACTATTTAATAAAAGAACACCTAGTAGTTCTGCAACCACAAGAGCAGTACAACTTCTATGTTGCAAAGCTATATATCATTTGATCAAAAGTAGAAACCATCAAAGCGGCCACCTCAAAGAAGACGATCAAGATCACATGAATAAAGCACTCATTTGATTTCTTCATTAGGGAACTAACTTTAAGATACAGTTGTGTTTGTTTTTTTTCCAGCAGAAATAATTGTAAAAGTGGTCTGGTTAGAATCAAGTACAAAAAAGTTTGTACAATTATACATTACCTCTCAAAATGCACTTGCACCTTTTTCAAAAACTTTAAGCTCAATTCATGCTAAAGATCACCTTCTGCTGAAGATACCAAATAAATTAATGAAAGGACCATGAAGTACTTTACATTTCAAATATGATATTGCTAGCAGTATTTTCACTATTTTTTGAACTGTTCAAGGGGACAATCTTCAAAACAAGATTCTGTCTCCCTTTAATATATATATTCAAATGATTTTTCCTAATCCTTTTATATAAAAATTACTGTCCACTGTCCATAAATCACTAAAGGAAAAAAAGACACTATAGCAGGACAGTTTTATATTAACTGTGTAACTCCTATTATGGCAATGCTTCTACAACACAGGCAACGATAT